TGGGGGGGAAGTCCGGACATTTACAAATTCCCCCCGGACGCTATTTTTAGCTCAAAAAGCCGGACATGTCCGGGGGAATCCGGACGAATGGTAACCCTACCTTATGGGATAATTACAGCTGGAGAAAGTCCTCACCTTGTCTGGGCACAGAGGAGGCTTTACTTAAGGTCACTCCCTAGCCTTGACTCCGTCAGGGGAGCAGCAGCTGCTCAGTCTTGATTCCCAGATTGCAAGGGAGGCAGCAGTGTCTGACCCAGGAAGCTCAACCCAATATCCTGAGCAGAGAGAGAGAGAGACTGAGTGGCTTCCCTGGCATTTAGTGATAACTCAAATCCCCTCCCAACAGGGAGGCATCCTGATCTCATTTGCCCACATGTTAATCCAGAAACTGGAAATCCAGCAGGGGTGGGCAAACTACAGCCCGCAGGCTGCATCTGTCCCGTCAGACATTTTAATCCGGCCCCGAGCTCCCGTCGGGGAACGGGTCTGGGGCTCACCCTGCTCTGGCGCTTTAGCTGCAGAGCGGGGTCAGGTCTTGCCCCGCTCTGCGCATGCCACGGCTCTGGGTAGCAGAGACAATGCGGCATGTGCCTCCTCCAGCTCCTACACATAGGGGCAGTCAGGGGGCTCCGTGCGCTGCCCCCACCCCAAGTGCCGCACCCGCAGCTCCCATTAGCCAGGAATCACGGCCCATGGGTCTGCAGGGGCGGTGCCAGCAGACAGGGCAGCATGCAGAGCCGCCTGGCCATGCCTACGCGTAGGAGCCAGACAGGGGACATGCCGCTGCTTCTGGGAACTGCTTGAGGTAAGCGCCGCCCAGAGCCTGCACCCCCGATCTTCTGCGCACCAACCACCTGCCCCAGCCCTAATCCTCCTCCTGCCCGCCGAACCCCTTGGTCCCAGCCCAGAGCACCTTCCTGCACCCCAAACCCCTTATCCCCAGCCACACCCCAGAGGCCTCACTCCCCCCCCACCAACCCTTGCCCCAGCCCGGAGCCCCCTCCTGCACCCCAAACTCCTAATTTCTGGCCCCATCCCAGAGCCCACACCCCCTCCCACTCCCAATTTCGTGAGCATTCATGGCCCGCCATAGAATTTCCATACCCAGTTTGCCCAACCCTGAACTAGAGTGTCAAGGGGGAATTTGGTCCATAACGACAACAGCCAACCACAGGAACGTGAGCTAACACCAGCTTTTGGCTAGAACATCTGCAGATGTCTGACCACAAGAATGCCATGGCAACAAATTGATGCATATGATAACAAGCTGAGGTCATTAATACACTAAGCTACTGGAGAACACCCCAACATTAGTGTGGAGAGGAAATTCAAATAAAGAAGCAGGAAGAAACCTCTACCGTATAAGCATCAGACATAGTGGCATCGGCAGAACATATTATAGGCTACACAACTCAAGAAAGGGAGCTGCATGTTGCTGTAGACAGCTCAATGAAAAACTCCATCCAGTGCACAAGTGCCACCAAAAAGCTAAACCATGTTAGGATTCATAAGGAATGGGACAGAGAACAACACGTAAATTTTTTATACAAATCAAAGTGGCAACCTCTAATGTCCTTGGACCACCATGGCTTCTACAGCACTGCACACGGGATATTTTATATCTACCTCTGAGAATTGGGGAAGAAATAGGTCTAAAAAGAAATATTTGACTATGAGAGAAAACCACCCAAATCTTAAGAGATTTTATATTAAGTGAGAATAGTGGGATAGTGTTACGGGATTGTATATGGAATTTCAACAAACAGAGTAATAATTCCCCCCCACACACACATTCACATGGGCAGCAGGGAGTCCTTTGGGGAGGTGCTTTAAGAGGGTAAGTAAGGGGGGTATGGAGCAGGAAATCTCCCTGGCAGTGGGGAGGGGACCAGGGCTGGCTCCAGTATTTTTTGCTGCCCCAAGCAGTGAAGCAGAAAAAATAAATAAAAAATAAAGCTGATCGGCGGTACTTCGGCGGCAGCTGTATCATGCTGTTTCATTCTTCTACCCTTCGCTCCCTCTCTTCCTCTTTGGCGGTACTTCTGCGACTGCTCAAAGAGGAAGAAAGGGACTGAGGGACCCGCCACCAAATTCCACCAAAGACCCGGCCGGGCCACCCCTTTCCATTGGCCGCCCCAAGCACCTGCTTCCTTCGCTGGTGCCTGGAGCCGGCCCTGGAGGGGACAGCAGCAGGGAGTGGCAGGTGACTTGCAGTTGCGGGGAGCTGCATTGGGCAGATGTGGGTAGCAGTAGCCGGGACTGTGTAACCTTGGGCTGGACAGTCTTTAGGGACTTTTTCTTCCTGTGCCCCTCTATGCCGTGTTGCTGGCGGAGAATGGCCACCCCATCCCACCCCAGATGCAGCTGTGTCTCACGGCACTGCAAGCTCCACCCATTAAACCCCTTCTCATTTGGGGAATGATTCAGGACAAAAATTTCACAATGAAAGAAAGAAAATTTACTGCAGATTAAATGGGTGGGAAAATATCCCAAATCGGAGATTGTGACATTAACATTGGAGAATTAGAGAGAAAATGGGGCAAAGTCTGAAAAGGAGAATAGTGAAAATGTCAATAATCGCGCCATCCTTTCTCTGACTCCTGGCCATGATGGGGCGCAATGTGGCGACCCAGTGAAGCTGATTTGAGGCTGACGCAAGGTAAGCAACGCCAAACCAGCCACCTAGGGCACTGGGTTGGAAGTCGGTACGGCGGGTGGGTCTGGGTTCCCCTACATCAGTGGTTCTCAACCAGGGGTACAGGTACCCTTCGGGGTACACAGGAGTCTCTCAGGGGGTACAGCAACTCATCTAGATATTTCCCCTAGTTTTACAACAGGCTACATAAAAAGCACTAGCGAAGTCAGTGCAAACTACATTTTACACAATGACTTGTGCGCACTGCTCTGTCCTGTACGCTGAAACACAAGTACAATCTTTACATTCCAGTTGATGTACGTTATCATTAGATGGTAAAGCGGAGACAGTCAGCCACGTCCAGTCATCCTGTGCGTGACACGCTGGTATTGCTACAGCTGTAACCC